TATCTCTCTAGCGGCTGCAAAACGGTGTGCCTAGGAGTGACAGTAAAGAAGGTTGAACTAAACGATGCCCAATCATAACAACGAGAGTACGCATCATAGAGGAGATCAATGACTCGACAAACAAGAAGGCGAAGGAAGCTCGCAATTTACGTGTTCGCTAGTCAAGCGGCCTCATGCGCCTAAAAAGCAAATTTAAGGCGTGACGTCACTTGGCGGAGAAACGGCAATGTGCATAATACACGAATGATTATTTGTCGCGTCGCAAAGATAGTTCATCCTATTGTTTTATAAGATTCTGCCTCTAAATCATTGTTTCTCCTAAAATGTTTAACGGGTACTGCAACGAAATTCTAGCGCCTATTTTATTACCTACATGTCAATCATGTTCTGGCCACGCCACGGAGACGCCGATTTTTTGCTCGAAAAGGCGCTGAAACAACTTAAAAGGAATAAACCGAATTTCGTTACGTCACTATGCACTTAAAAGCAGCACCGCTCCCCGAAAATACGTCCGCTAGCTGCGCGCGCGCGAAACCTGTCGAACCGGATTTCCCTTTTCATTTGGCCTATTCAGCTCCTGCGGGGAGCGGGGAAGGGCGACTAAAACGGTCGGGTTGTAACCCGTTCACGACACCACGTGGTGGAGCTCATAAGGCCCGCTTCAGACGGGACAACTTTCCCAGCAATTTCGGTGTTCCTGGCGAGTTGTTCCCTAGCTTTCCCTAGTATGACACGAGTTGCTCGGATCGCATCCGGCTCGAAACGGACGAGCAACTCGGACAACTCGGAGACGTTGAAGCGGCGGCAGCCAATCAGGGACGAGATATTTTCGCGTGACACCCCGTGCCGGTGATGATGGCTACTAAAGACTTTGTTTAGGACGGCGCCTTTCCATTTAAAATATTAAAAACGCGTTTATAGCGCGTAACTGTGTGTCTTAACACTACAAGAAAAATTAAAATTGAATGATGATGATGATGGCGAATCGTATCAATTCGGTTGCTGTTTGTGAACGCGGGCGGCCCGTGTTGCTGGTGTTGCGACGCCAAGTTCCGGGGGAAATTGCCCCGTCTGAAGCGGCTCTAGCCACGCCAGCCCCCACGCAGCTTTGCCCGTGCTCGGCCAGTGACGTCACGTTTCCCGTGATGCATCGCGCTCTCCGATGGCTGGTCTTTGAGCGCTCGCTGGTATCGGTCCTTTGGAAAGAAAAATAGAGCCATCCGTTTAAAATACAAGCGTGCGATTGACATTAGCAGAGTGTGTTGACAATCTATAATAAGGTGGCGAACGCGGCCAGTTGGTTGACGTTATACATGATGGGGAAAACAGCTCAGAAAACACAGACTACGAGGAAGACAGACAATGCTGTCCTATCGTTTATGTTCATCCTCTTAGTCCGTGTTTTCTGAGCTGTTTTCCCCGTCATATGTTGGTAATGTTTAACTAATTTCTCAACGTGAGAGGTATCCTTTAAGTTTAGATTCAGTATCTATTTTAAGTATGGCAATTCACTGATCGGGATTGATTTTCCTTACAGCGTTAGTCTACTCCCGGCGCGCCAAGCTTGGTGCACCGGCGATCTCAGACTCCGCGCTCACACACGAGCGAGGACCCGCGGCCAGACTTGCGCCCATTACTTCAAAAAAGTAATTAATTACAATTGCAATTACTTGGCCTGAAAAGTGAGGGATTATCGTTACAAATTACTCCCTGTAACAAGTAATCGATTAAGTTCCTTCGTTTTCTAAGAAGTGGAGGCCTGTTGCCTTCATGTAGACAGTCGAATCCGCCCAGCTTGGCTGACCGTACGAACGAGTCGCGAAACGGACTCTGGCTGGGCTCTCGTGCTTTCCGTGAATTCCTTTCCCACGCCAGCACCTCACCCGAGCCTTGTGCTAGCATGCTAAAAGCGCGATGGCCGTTGCATCGCCCTTCTTACACTCGTTTTCTCTCTTAGATGGGACGGAAAAATTGTAACGAGTAATTTCAGTAATTCGTTACTGAAAAAGTAATGAGAATACATTTTCAAGAAAGTAACGGATTAATTACTAAATTACAAAAGAAGTAAGTAATTACAAGTAACTCCGTTACTTGTAACGGATTACTTTGACGTCTGCCCGCGGCTTCGTCGAGTCGAGTTTTCCCGCAATGTGAGTGTTTGTGAGGGGAAGCGCGCCTCGGCGAACGCGGCGCAGCGTGTCTGTGCTGGAACGCCTTCATCACAGAGCTCATTTGTTCGGCAAAAGTGAACGAGGCGAAGAAGTAATCGTAGTGGCCGGGCTCCATGCGCAGTTGTACGAGCGCGAACTTGCCGAATTTTGAGTCCGACCAGACTCGGCTGGTTCAAACTTTCAACTTGAAGCGCAGCGAAAGTTCGGCTATTATGCGCATCCGCGTGAAATGAAAACCAGCTTTACCGCCTGGCGAAGGTGGGGTGCAGCATTCTAGCAAACCAATTACGTGATTAAAAGCGTGCGTGCTCGCTCTTTTATAGCGTAAAAATTCGTCATTTTTTTTTAAATTATAAGTTCTCATTTTTTTTTGTCGTTGTTAAAGTCCGACAGCTCTGTTTAAAAAGCCGAACTTCGTCGAATTTTCCCCAAAAGTTCAAAAAGCAGTCAAACGTGGAGTTTCGACCGTAGTTCTCAACATCATGTCTCAACTGCGCGACTCTCAATGTAGCTCGTCCTATTGCTCGGTTACATCGTCGACGATGCATCGGGGCTTGATCAGAGGCATCCTTAATCGACTCATCGAGGGGTGCGGAGCTCTGTTCCAACTCGCTCCTTTCGTGTAAGCGGGGCTCAGTCGACTCTCAAGGCATGCCAACCAAGTCTTCCCCAGACGACGGAATGATCTGGTAGGGCTGTCGACAGGGAACTGCCGATTAAGCACTCTGACTCGACAACAACTGATTGACCTGGCTACAACAGAAGGATGTAAACCAAGCGCGTCGAAAGAATTCAGCTACAACTTACCATCTTAGAGTATGGAATTATCTAAATATTTAGGACGAAAGCCTTTTGATGAAAGACAGTTTAAACGAGAGAACGGAGGACACCACGTTTCATGGGCGGAGGGTCTACGTGCCATTTAAGTCGACAGAAAGCCGACCTCCTGTTGCCCCGTCGTTAAATGGACGTATGTAAACAGCATATGCCAGTTGATTTATTGAAACGCTGAGTACTCGTCCATCCCTGCACTTTCCGGCGGAATACTTGCCCAGTTTCTCCGACTTTGGTGGATTAAGGTAGCGCGCTTGAAGCTTCAGGAGGTCGTTTCCAAGTGGAGCTAATTAGTGAACTGCGCGCTTGTTTTCCGAGACGCGTTCGCCTTGTGCTAGTTGGGCGCGCATTAAGAATGGTATTATTTCCAATATGCGCCAGTTATTTTTTATTTGAACACGCTGTCGGGTGCGGTATTTAGATCTTCGTGGATATTTGGGATCACCCGGTTTCTGAGATAACAATATCACGTTAAGGAAGAGGGGAAAACACTTTAAGGGAGAAAGCGAAATTATGGAATGTCGGAATACACAGAAAGAATAAAACGCACGAAGGACGAACACAGACACACAGTTCTTTCAATGAGCAACGAACATTTATGAAATGCCCTTTCTGTGTAGTCTCTAGTTTTCAACGCGCTCTGCTACGTGTACTTTATGGAATGTCGTGGGCTGCAATTTTTTGTTTGTTTTAACATTGCTATTTACATTAATATATTTTCTTTTCGGATTTATGTTGAACTACTTTTAGACGTCAAAAATGGCTTTTTGCTAATTTTTATTTATTTTTCTCCCCAAAAAATTACATCTTATGCCCAGACTAATTTTGCCTCCTTCAGTTTGCTATATCAAACGAACGACCCTGGAACAGAGACATTCTAAAGTTTTCAGTGCATAGCTCTGTGTGTACGTTATCTGACGGTTTATTGTTCATGATGGTGAAATTTATTAACAGCCTGGTTATTTAGAATCTTAAGATTTTAAGTCCATTTCCAGAAAATTTATATATTTTTTTTTACTTTGTTTGTTAGCTTTTATAGTTAAAATATCTGAGTAGATCTGTAATTCCCAAACTGCTATTTTGCGACCCACAAAAAAAAAATATATATATATATATATAAAATAGCGCGTCGAAACTGTTAGTACAACGGCCAGCCTGGGGTCTTTAACGTGCATCACGCAGTAGTGAGACACGACCGCACGCCGGTGCGATGCTCATCCAGATCGAAACGGGCAGGGGTGGGGATTGAAACCAGGATGCTTGGGTCCTGGAGCGCAAGCTATCGCTCCACGCATTCCGAACTGCGGTGCTTTCACACTCTCGACCGCCGATCCCCTTTCAGCCACCAGGGGTGAAGTCTTCGATGAGAAATGTTTCGTTGGCTCATTTTGCTAGCGAAAAGTTTGAATTTTATCTAAGTTAACAACATTGCGTTCATAACATTCATACCTCCACGAAACAACCTCTCGTATGAGCAGAGTTGTAAACCCGAAACTGGGAATCGGGACAAGGGACGAAAACACAGAACGACAGGGACAAAGTCTCAAAACGCAGCCAGGAAACTTTATTTCACAGGACAAACATCTAAGTCATTTTGCCACCAGTGGTTTCCCCTGGTGGCGAGTGACTTATATGTTTGTCCCGTGAAATAAAGTTTCCTGCTGCGTTTTGAGACTTCGTGTCGTTCTTTGTTTTCGTTCCCTTGTCCCGATTCCCAGTTTCGGGTTTACAGCTCTGCTAGGTTACACCAGCTTGCCTGCACCCTGACCATTGCTTCGCAGCCTCTCATGCTTTGTTTATAAAGCGTTTTTATTGTTTTTGTTTTGTTTTGCTTTGTTGTGTTACCAAAGGGTTCAGAAATGTGTGTTCAACTGCGATGTTCTGGCTGCCGTTTACCGCATACTCTTCCTTCGAAGAGCTCATTTCCAACGGCGTCCTCACGTGACAAAACGAAGCACGGGCGGGCTGAATGGCGCTCCTCTTGTGGCTGCGCAGAGCTAGCGAGGCCCGGAGCGGAGCTGCCCGGCAGGCGGGCGCCGATGGCGTTCTTCGACGACCGTCGGTTCCTGCTGTCGCACGTGCGGCACTCTTTCGTGACGTGCGACGACACCGGCATGTGCGAGCTGGCCATGCTCAACGAGGCCGAGCCCCGGCCCTGGGAGCCGCCGCTGCTGCTGTGCGGCGACGGGCCGCCGCCGACGCAGGACCAGCCCGAGATGGGCCAGTCGTACGACATCGTGTCCGACATGGAGCTGATCGGCGCCCACAGGCGACGCTCCAACACGGCCCAGAGGCTGGAGCGCCTCAAGAAGGAGCGCCGCCAGCAGGCCAAGCTCAGGCACGTCGTCTGGAGGGAGTCGCCCAGCAGGACCCTCTCCCGTGAGTCTGCCGGGACCCGGCGACTGCGCGTCCACGCGTCCGCGCACCTGCCGGCGGGACAAAGCTCGGGGTTGGCGGACAATTTTAGCCGTCGAAAAAAGTCGAGGACTTGCCAAAGACTCGATAGAGACTCGCTAAAGTCTCGCTAGAAACGTATTATCGTCTACTGCGAGCGAGAGAAAGCTTGAAGGCGTTGGGGGAAGTTTAGTCATCCAGGGGCCCTAGTGTACACGGCGAGATCGAGGAACTGGAACGTCGCCGCCTGCTGCGATTGGCCAGTTCGGCACACTTGACCAATAGCAGCAGGCGGCGCTGTCCCGGTCCCGCCGTGTAGATTGGGACCCCAGGACAGTTAGGGTCTTGCCAGGGGCTTGCCTATGGCTGAGACGCTGAGACTCGCTACGGACCTGCTAGGGACAATTCTCAGGGGCTTGTCCTAGGTTTCAGTCGAAAGGGTGCGAAACTCGAGGAAATTTTAGAGAGAAAAAAGTATCGTAAATTCTGTAATAAATCGGGATTTTTTTTTTTTTTTTTACGTGTGCGGTTAAAAAATTAAGAAAGATGTTCCTGCGTGATTACCGACGCTTCTATCGGGAATCATACGAATAGCGAACGGCGGCTGCAAATACGGCTTGACACGGTCGACCTCTGGGACACAGTCCGTAGTGGCGCATCGTTGAATTTTTGGGAATAGTGGCAGACGACTTGGAGAAATAGGGACATTTACAAATGTATAAATTATGGCACACCATCGCCATCAATATTAATAGTCATGGCAATTTTTTTTTTTTATTGGGCCTTGAGTTTCGGTAAATAGTGAAAGAAAATCCGGAGAAGTAGGGACATTTACAAATGTATAGATCATGGCAGACTTTGTCGCGAAGAAGGGGAAAGAGCCAGGCCACGACCTCACATAGTCGTGGAGGTTAATGGCCGCCCGCTGCACGGGCGGCCACCAACCCAGGCTGCGAGCGAGTCTCTTGTGAAAAGTGGTGCTCTCGCCTCTTGAAGCGCGGTGTATTTTTGTTCGTCAAAACAGCTATGATTGACAGATTCGTGTGAAACATGGAAACGTAAATGCCGTGCCTGCAGCACTCGAAATCATTGAATCAAAAATATGCGCAACTATTATCGGGCGAAAAATCTGAAAGACCGGAGATAGCGATATCTAAAAACCTGCGAGGTAGGCCATGTATTTCTATAATTAATGACCAACGACGTCTGCGGGATTTTGAAATCTTCGGCGTGTGTTTCTTACGCGAAGCGACGTGCGCGTTTACTCGCGAAGTAAAACAAATTAAAAACAGTGTAGTTTGTCGGTTTTTATTCTGAACTGGCTCGGCGACATAAACCTTCGAACCAATAACGCGGAAAGTCAGGCATCGCGTATTCGCCATCATTTGGCTTCTTGAAGAGCCCATATACCATCGTCGCTGTCAGTATTGTAATAGCATGTTTCTGCTGTGGTCGCGCGCAAATGTTTGAATTTAAATTTAAAAATCAGCAGCGACCTTTAGAGTTCTGTCGTGCATAAAAGGGAGTATTTCGGGAGCTGTCGTTAACATTTCATTAGAAGGTATTTATAAAGAAACAGTCATTTCTGCGAGTAAATAACCTATCGTTTAAATCGGCCGGATAAGACATTCGGTCAAATACACTGAAGGTGGCCTTTCATGAAATTGATGGGACGGGGCTTGCTCCAAAATGACGAGTTGGGCTTGCTCGTGTTGGTCGCAGCGTAAAAGAACACCGAAGGACGCTGCCCTTTTTGCGGTAGGTGCAGAGGGAGGAGAAAGAAGAGGAGGAAGGAGCGATGGAAGGATGAGTAGGGGAGAGATAGAGAAAGAAAGGGGAGGGAGCAAGAAGGGTGAGCGGTGTCCCGTGACGTGAAGTGTGTAAATCACGACCTAAATTTCCCCGATAAATCTAGCGGGGAATCTGAATTGGTGTATACGTGGGTTGCGTTTGACGAGAATCGGCCCCTTTTTGTTGGGGCCAGAAGCACCTCGCTAACGCAGTGGAGGCTGCAATCTCCCTTTCCCCCAAGTCCGCCCCCTTGTGGCCGGAAGCGTCTCGCTAACGCTGCGGAAGTTACCCCCTCACTCGCCCTTTCCCCCATTATGCCTGACCAAGCGACGTCAGTGCAAGCTATGTATAGGGCACGTGACGTCAATTTCACCGCTAACTTTAGCGAGGAAACTAAATTGGCGTTTAGGTCACGTCGTTGTCCCCGCTAAATTCAGCGGAAAATGAACGGGCGTTATAAAGCATATGCTTTACCAATGAACGACGGACGGGCGTAGGACCGCGGTTAAGAGCCCGGCGTTATCCGGCGAATATCGAGGCACCCCGGCGGTCCAGAGCGTTTGTTTGCGGGGTGAGGTTCGGCCGTGTCGCTCGTGCCTTCCATCGGAGTACCCATTCCGACAAGGCCCGAGTACGCGGACGCCCGGCGTCGTGACAGTGCGGCCCTCCAGAACTGCGCAAAGTCTCGGCGAACACTATAAAATCACTGCCAGGCTGCTGTTTTTTTTTTTGTTTCTAAGTTGTTTTTGTTTTTAGCGAGCCTCGAAATTAGTTGCTTTGCCGGAAAGCACGCCGGTTCGCGGTCGGCATTTCTCTGCTCCGCTTGTTGCGCGCTGCCCGTGTCGTCGGGGGGGGTGCCGGGCTTTTCACAAGTCGGCCGGCGCTCGAAATGAGCGGCCGCTACTCTCTAATGGGGATTTTACGACGCGCCTGCTTGTTTCCCCCCGCTGTTTAGAAAGTGGCCGCTCTTCCTCGCCGATGCCGCTTTTGTCCCCGGCCTTGTTGTCGTCGCTGCTTTTCTTTTTCCCTCCTTGTTTTTGGGACTGTCCCGCGACAAGAGAAACTCGTTAGCGCGGCATCGAGAGAGCCGTCAACGCTCACTCGGCGCGCTGCATAACAGCGGGGACGTTCGCTTTGTTTCCCTCCTCGGGCGCGGTCGCGCGGAGCACAGTCGTCTCTTGGGCGCCCGCTGTCTCGTGCGGATCATCGTGCGACTTGGAATCCGAGCTGCCGAGTAGGATGGAGTTTGACGAAGGCCATAATTAGAGGCGGAGGACGCGCGAAACGCGGCGGCCATTATGCGACGTGTTCCGTTCAATATTACGCTGGCTCGGCCCTATAGAACTGTGTTTCGAATGCGCCCGAGAGTGGGATCGGACGCATAGAAAGATGCACAATTGGTTCTTACTAAGCGATGAGCACTGTCGCTAGGTCAATACATAAAAATCGGGTGTTTCGTACGGGAAACACCTAGCTGACACGCGCACGCGTCTTAATAGAAATTCGCGTCATTTCGAGACTAAATGTTTAAACTTTCATTTGTGGTGCGGAAGATGGCTACCGACATGTATGTGTCGCGCCGCTCGACTCTTATTATCGCACCATAAAATGTTCCTTTTTGCGCACAGTGGAACATCTGCGCCCGTGCTTTCTCTTTCTCTCGGTGATACTTCCGCTCGAACTTGGATTTGCGCTCTACCGTCCTGCTTTTGGCAGGTGTTTTTCGCTGCGCCCGTCTTCGCTGAAAGTTGGTCGTGTTTTTCGCTACCCCGCGACACTGGACGGTTTCCCGAGTGTCGCGAGGACGGCGGGGGAACCTGCCTGAGGGCGGGTCCCGGGTTCCACTCGGAGCTGCGCTCGTTTGGCTGGCTCGCCTGCCTTTGCCGGGCAGCCGGGACGAGGGGGGTCTCGGAGGCGTCGGTTGTCTCGGCTCGCTGGCAGGCTAATTGAGCGCGGGGGTAATTACGGGCCGAAAGAGGAGCCTTTCGGCGGCTCGGGTGTCGCTGACGAATGGCGCCAATCGGGAAACGGGACGCGCCGCCACCCGAGCCCCGCCGAGGCGATAAATAAGGCGGGGGACAGCGCGGCGGCTCCCGTGTCTTCGACGGACGCGCCCCCGTGCCGGACCGGGCGGCGGGCCGCGTCTCCGGTGCGCGCCGCCTGCAGGACGCCCGAGCACACTGCCGGATCGAGGGCTACGCCGCTTCCGGGCGAGCTTCTCGGCCCCGTCGAGCATTTTCGAGGTCATGATTCGGCAATAACTTCGACTCCTGCCTCCTTCCGCATCCTGACAGCGACGTGGGTAGATCTGGGGTCTTCCCACACACACCCACGCACATACATACCCACACACACCACAAAAAAAATAAAAGTCTTGGTTATGCTATTGGACATTGATGTCTCGGTCTCGTCTTCCGTCCATCTCCTCGTCGCGGGTTTGAGATATCGCTTTCGTTTCAGTACGCTGCCGTTTCAAGGTTCCATGTGTTTGGCTATTTGTCCAATGTATTTGCTTCCCCGTAAAAAAAAAAAAAAAAAAAAAAAAAATAGGCGGCGTCCGTGAAGATTAGAACAACTTCGCAGCTTTTGGCTGTGCGGATGTTGTAGAAAAACGAAGAACTACTTTTATCTGCTCGAGAGTTCACGATAGGGCTCTATTTTGGTGAGAATTGTTCGCCCACACACGGGTTGAAAAGGATCTCTCGACCGCTAATGTGCTTGTCCCGTGCCTTTTTTTTTTTTTTATCCAGAGGTGAATTGCATCGTGTGTATGGCGGCAGAGCGACTTTTTATTATTGAGGTGGCGGAAGTGGCCGATTCTTGTGCGACTAAATTTCGTGTGGTTTAGCTTAGATTAGACTCATTAGAGGGAAGGAACGGCGCCCTTTGGGGGGGCTCTGGTGCAAGATTGTGGTGGCCTCCGACCCCCGCGTGTGCTCGCTTCTCCCGAAAGATCGCTTCTCCTGACGCACGTATGTACTGCCGAGAAGCCGAAGATCGCGGCCGGCCCGTTCTGCCAGCGATCAGGCCGCTTTGCTCGGTGCAACGGATGGTTGATAACTGATATGGGCTCTTCTCCGCGCTCGAAATGATGTTGATGAAAAGCATCCTTTAATAGCGGGATACCTTCACGTCGCAGTCACATGGCATCACGATGTCACAATATCTGTTCAGATAATATCATGCACACGTGT